ACTTAAATTATTTTCAATGGTCTGTAAGGGTTAATATATAAATGAGTCACATTATAATAAATAGAGATATATATATACTTCAAAAAAATAAGTATTAATATTGCGGCGACCATCACCGGTGCGGTGAGAAATAGCAATCCCCTTATTTTTGATGTTGCTATGACCAATTGAATTCCAATAAAAAAGATCTACAACGGTTTTACTATTACTATTACTATTAATATTGGTGGAACTTAATATTAGAGATTGAAACCGAATATAAATAGTTTTGGCTAATTTATTAATAGAAAAGGCTGTTTACAACTATATATGGGAGTTGATTATGATATACACATCCATCAATTATGGCGCAATAGTTAAAATCATTGAAATGCGATTAGCAATTTTGATTATATAACGAATTTAAATACAATTTTTTTATGTGTCCCATAATTCGAATTCTTTTATTGTACTGTATATTAAAGTAATAATTAAAGATCTTTATGTGGAAACAAATTGAAATGTTCACTATTTCTTTTTAAAAATAAGCAAATCTGGGGATAATTGAATACGTTTTACAGAAATATGGTTATCTAAAAACAACAAGGTTATTTACAGAAAAGGATAAAATAAAATAATTAGCCAAAATTCCAATATCAAACCGGTTCAACAGGTTTTATCAATATTAAATTTGGTTGTCTGAAATAAACCGGTATTATTATGTCCGGTTTTCCGAATATGAAAAAATGGGAATCAAATTTATGTTGCAACCGCTTTTATTTCTATTATCGAACCTCAATTAGGATTCTTTGGATGCATACGTGCATTTGCATTACCCAGATAGACTATGAATAGGCAGATGTGACTGTATACTGATACTCATCTAATACTAATGATGCATGACGAAATGTTTTTGGATTTGAGAAACTATTTCGTCAAATGTAATAAAAAATGACAAAAGACTAAACCCATGACGAAAGACTAAATCCTTGGCGAAAGTAAAATCCCTTGGCGAAAGTTAAAATCTTGCAAAACAAAAAAAAATTTTTATTAAAGCCAAAAAAAAAAAATTGATAAAAGAAAAAGTAGCAGTAAAACATTTAATAATTCAAAAAAAAAGAATTATTACACGAATGTGAGTTTTGTTAAATTTATCTGTTTATTTTTACATCATTTTATATCATATTATTATGTGCATATATAAAATTCATAATTTGTAATTTTTTAATATAATTTAAATATCCAATATCAAAAAACTAATTTAACAATGTATTGTATAAATAATAATAGTCAAATTATATTAAATGTCAATAATTAGAGAGAAAGTAAATTTCTTTTTTATGATTATATGATGATGGTGTGGTAACTATAAATAATAAATAAACATTCGTTACTCTAGTTGCAAAACAAAAAAATTGATTTTTTATTTTCGTCAACTATTTTTACCTTTGTCAATTATTTTTTACTTTCGTCAACAATTTTTACTTTCGTCAAATCGTCAAAATGCCTCTTGGTGAGAAACTACTTTAGTCAGCACTTTCGTCACGTCAATGACTAAAGTCGAAAGTTTCGTCATGCAACATCAAGACTCACAGAAGTTTGTCTTTTCATATTTATCACGTCTATCGTTAATTTTAGACGTCGATGATGATTATTCGGTTTTAACCCTTTCGTTAGAGACATAAAGGTCGGTCTTTTTGTCTCTATTACGTTTATCATAACTGTTAGATGTTGATAACGGTGATTTGTTTTTAATCCTTTTGTTAGACTCACAAATGTTTGTTTTTTCGTCTTTTAACACGTTTACCGTTATCGTTAAACGTTGATGAAGGTGATTTGGTTTTAATCCGATTGTTTGACTCATAAAATTTTGTCTTCTCATATTTATCGTTAGTTTTTGACGACGATTATAGTGATTTTGTTTTCATCCTTTTGTTAAACTCGTAAAAATTTGTTTTTTCATCTCTATAACGTTTATTGTTATTGTGAGATGTCGATGGCGGCGATTTGGTTTTAGTCATCTCGTTAGAATCGTAAATGATTGTTTTTTTATATTTTTTGCGTTTATCGTTAATTTTATATGTCGATGATGGTTATTTTGTTTTAGTCCTTTTGTTAGACTCGTAAAAATTTGTTATTTCATCTCTATAACGTTTGTTGTTATTTTTAGATGTCGATGATGGTGATTTAGTTTTAGTCATCTCGTTAGAATCGTAAATGATTGTCTTTTCACGTTTATCGTTGATTTTAGACGTTGACGGTGGTGATTTAGTTTTAATCTTATCGTTAGACTCGTAAACGGTTGTCTTTTCATATTTATTACGTTTATCGTTAATTTTAGTCGTTGGTGATGATGATTTCGCTTTAATCATCTCGTTATAATCACGTTTATCGTTAAGTTTAGGCGTTGATGATGTCGATTTGGGTTTAGTCTTCTCGTTAGAACCATAAACCGTTGTCTTTTCATATTTATTACGTTTATCGTTAATTTTAGTCGTTGACGATGTTGATTTGGTTTTAGTCTTTTCGCTAGAATCATAAACCGTTGTCTTTCCATATTTATTACGTTTATCGTTAATTTTAGATGTTGACGATGTTGATTTGGTTTTAGTCTTCTCGTTAGAATGATAAACCGTTGTCTTTTTATATTTATTACGTTTATCGTTAATTTTAGTTGTTGATGACGGTGAGTTTGTTTTAGCCATCTCGTTAGGATCGTAATGGGTTGTCTTTTCATGTTTATCGTTAATTTTAGATGTTGACGATGTTGATTTAGTTTTAGTCTTCTCGTTAGACTTGCAAAGACCAGTCTTTTCGTCACCATCACGTTTATCGTCAATGTTAGTCGTTGATGATGGTGTAGATGCGGGAAATGTAGATGTTATTTTTGTATAAAATAGGACGTAGGGCTTACACTCGAGTACAGAATTGATTGAAACCTAATTTTTTAAGATTAATTAATTAATTAATGATTTATCATTTGCTATTGAAAAACTTGTATATATATATATATATATATATATAATACTTACTCGTTGAACATATCTATCGTTATATAAATACCATTCATTGTTTCTATTTTTGATATATGAATAATAATGTCCTTTACGAATGGTACTACCTTCATGAACCAAGACAGCGCTAAGATTATAACGAACATTTTTACCCTTTAACAATAAATTGTATGATTTGTATTTAATTAGCATTATGTTATTAATGCATAAACATATTATCATTATCATTATTTAATTATTTAATTATTTACCCCCAAAATATATTTCGAAATGTCTAGCACCTCTCCAAATTCCACACGTTTTGAAATCTTGTATCCTTGCTTCGTGGAGCTGGAGAAACCGAATCTTTTCAATTGTACTATAAGAGTATTTGGCTCTTCTTTTATCGTAAATTCTTGGTTGCAAGTAAACTTGTTGCACCTAATAAGTAAGATTATGATTTATTTAGAAAATCAGATATTTCCAAGATCAAATTATAATAACAATACTTACGAGCACTTGAAACCAGGTAATTCGGCGGATTCACAATACTCATCAAAGCACTCTTCTATTGAATTTTTCGTTGCTGCAGAGATCGTAACAACGCCTTCTGTCGACAAAGTCTCTCTTACAATTTTGACAAGTTATCTAATAAATTTTTTTTCTTTCGTTAGTATATCAATTTATAAATAAATAAAATTAATGAATCAATTTTTTATTGTATAATGATAACAATAATAACCTTCTTTTGTAGAGTTGTCCAGAAATCATAATACATATGTTGTGCGACCATGTTCTCATTGACACATTCGCCCACCTTTTGAAGAATGCCACACAAATATAAGAAAGCATCATTTTGCTCGTTTACCTCGGCGAATGGTTCGATATCTACAATAATAATATAAATTGTAAATTAATTTATAATATACGTATTCAAATAATACAAATAAACATTAATTAAATTACACACCTGTAAGATAGGTGATGAACGGGCCAGCGTAAACTGGTTGCCGTGATTCCATAAGTTTAATACGCAACCGTTTTAATTCATTGAAGATACATACAGGACTACAATAACCTACATAGTGATAATAGTGATGTAGTGGTAATAGCGATATAGTGGTAATAGCAATGTAGTGGTAATAGCGATATAGTAGTAATAGCGATATAGTGGTAATAGCAATATAGTGGTAATAGCGATGTAGTGGTAATAGCGATATAGTGGTAATAGCGATGTAGAGGTAATAGCGATATAGTGGTAATAGCGATATAGTGATAATAGCGATAATAGTGATAATAATGATTAATAGATAGCGATAGTGATGATAATAGCAATAAAGTGATCGTGATAATAGTGATAAAAGAGTATTTAATAAGTTAAATAATATATATAGCATGATCAAAGTATTTGATTAATGCAAAGAGTATTTACATTGATGGTTGCCGGTAGATTCTAGATGCCTTTCTGCATTGGGAAGATGTACGAGGACTTGAAGGATCGAATTAATGAAGCATACAACGTTATTATCGTTTCTTAATCCGGCTCCGTTATTAAAACCAGCTTCATTATTATTATTATTAAAACCAGCTCCGTTATTAAAACCAGCTCGATTATTAAATCCAACTTTATTATTGTTGTTTCTGAAATTCTGGTTATTGTTTCTGAAATTACGGTTATTGTTTTTGAAATTACGGTTATTGTTTTTTCTCGCCATTACTGTGTGTGTGTGTGTTTCTTGATATAAGAATTTAAATTTTTTTTTTAGAGAAATGAGAATTTAAATTTTTTTTTTAGAGAAATAAAATTTAATTTTATGTAATGAGGTGAGAAATGGGGTTTTTTTTATAACTACTTGAGAAAATTCGCCGCACCTATATATATGTAAATTTTATGTATGTTTCACTTGTTAGAAAAAATTTTATACGTAGGAGGGTAAATAAAATTGTAAAAGACATTATTTTTTTTTTTATATTACTTTATTCTATTATTTTTGAAAAAACCTTTGACACAAATATAATATAACTTAAAAAGGAAATAAAAATTAGTGTCAAAAAAAAGACTCTTTACGATAATAATAAAATAAATATATCTCCGAATCGTGTGAATACAAAGGAGTTGTCTCTTTACAAACTTGCTGACTTATTACTATTGTACATTAAATAAATCAGTTCTATTATGTTAAAAAAATTTCATCTTTACAAAATAATTACGTTGACTAGGTGACTCGTCGTTCGTTATCGCATAATGGATATTAATCTCCAAATCATGCCTTAGAATAGATAGCTACACACTATTTATTACTATTATAATAACATAGATATTTCGTCATGAAACAATTGATCATATATAATTTATAATTTTATTTTTATTTTTAAGTTTTTTTTTTTTTTTTTTGCGAAAGATTGTTAGTCAATTAGTTTTATTTATTTTTTAGAGTTTAATTTATACATATTTTAAAATACATAGATAAATAACTTCATGTTATTGAAAACTTTTCTCACATGTATAAACATCGTGACCAATCTTCACCACCATCTTAATTTTATTATTAATAAATAAAATTGCTTGATTAATATTAAAAAAATTCTCTTTACGATAATAATAAAATATATGCAATAAAAAATATATCTCCGGATCGTGTGAAAACAAAGAGGTTGTCTCTTTACAAAACTTGCTGATTTATTACTATTGTACAATAAATAAATAAGTTCTATTATGTTAAAACCATTTTATCTTTACAAAATAATTACGTTGACTAGGTGACTCGCCGTTCGTTATCGCACGCATAATGGATATTAATTATCTCCAAATCATTAAAAAATTTTGTCTTGGAATAGTTACACACTATTTATTACTATTATAATAAATAACAACTACATAGATATTTCGTCATGAAACAATTGATCATATATAATTTTGATTTTTTTTTTTTTTTTTTTTTGTGAAAGATTGTTAGTTAGTTTTTTATGTTATGAAAACCTTTTAGTTTTAATTTTATTATTAATAAAATTGCACATATGTGTTTAGATTGGTAATTATATAATTTTATTAATATTTGGCAATTCACCATCTGCAAAAAAAAAGTCTCTTTACGATAATAGTAATAATAACAACATCAATAGATATATATAAGCAATAAAAAATATATCTCCAGATCGTGTGAAAACAAAGAGGTTGTCTCTTTACAAAACTTACTGATTTATTACCATTACACAATAAAATAAATAAGTTCTATTATGTTAAAAAAATTTCATCTTTACAAAATAATTACGTTGACTAGGTGACTCGCCGTTCGTTATCGCATAATGGATATTAATTAAAAAATTTTTGTCTTGGAATAGTTACACGCTATTTAAGCATTAGTGGAAATTTGAAATGTTAGATTAATTTTTTATATTGTGCAACGTAGCTTTACAATAAAAAAAGTGAGTTATAAACTGAATTTGAATTGGATCTGAACTTGATCTCCAATTTAGAGAGGTAAAAACTATATACTGATGAAGTTTCAGGAGCAATGGGTTCTGTATAACATTTCGTGTAACAACTACATAGATATTTCGTCATGAAACAATTGATCATATATATTTTTATTTTTTATTTAAATTTTTTTTTTTTTTTTTTTTTGCGAAAGATTGTTAGTTGGTTTTGTTTATTTAGAATTTATTTTATACACATTTTAAAATACATACATAAATAATTTCACATTTTCCCACATATATAAATATCGTGACCAATCTTAATCTTTGCCCAGCATAGTGGAATTTTGAAATGTTATATACACTAATTTTTTATATTGTACAACGTAGCTTTACAATGCATGGCAAACATTCTGGCAATAAAAAGTAAGTGATAAACTGGATTTGAATTGGATCTGAATTTGATCTCAAGTTTAGAGAAGTTACAGAAACAATGGGTTCTGTATAATGAAACAATTGATATATAATTTTTTTTTTTTTTTGCGAAAGATTGTTAGATGCATTTATGAATATCGTGACCAAATCCCTAACAAATAAAATTGCACATATGTACTTATTAGTAGGCGGCAACTATATAATTTTTTTAAATTGATTAATATTAAAAAAAGTTTATTTGCGATAATAATAAAATATAAGCAATAAAAAATATATTTCCAGATCGTGTGAAAACAAAGAGGTTGTCTCTTTACAAACTTGCTGATTTATTACTATTGTACAATAAATAAATAAGTTCTATTATGTTAAAAAAATTTCATCTTTACAAAATAATTACGTTGACTAGGTGACTCGCCGTTCGTTATCGCATAATGGATATTAATTATCTCCAAATCATTAAAAAATTTTGTCTTAGAATAGCTACATACTATTATAATAAATAACAACTACATAGATATTTCGTCATAAAACAATTGATCATATATAATTTTTTTTTTTTTTGCGAAAGATTGTTAGTTAGTTTTATTTATATAGAATTTATTTTATACATATTTTAAAATACATAGATAAATAATTTCTTTGTATTATGAAAACTTTAATTTTAATTTTATCATTAATAAATAAAATTGTACAATGTTAAAAAAAAGTCTCTTTACGATAATAATAAAATATAAGCAATAAAAATGTATCTCCGGATCGTGTGAAAACAAAGGGGTTGTCTCTTTACAACACTTATTGATTTATTACTATTGCACGATAAATAAATAAGTTCTATTATGTTAAAACCATTTTATCTTTATAAAATAATTACGTTGACTAGGTGACTCGCCGTTCGTTGTCGCACGCATAATGGATATTAATTAAAAAATTTTTGCCTTAAAATAGCTACACACTATTTAAGCATAGCGGAAGTTTGATGTTACACTAAATGTTATACAGGACCCAGAAACTTCACCAGTTACCTCTCTAAATTGGGAGATCAAGTTCAGATCCAATTCAAATCCAGTTTATCACTTACTTTTTATTGCCAGAATGTTTGCCATTGTAAAACTACGTTGCACAATATAAAAAATTAATGTAACATTTCAAATTTCCATTATGCTCGCTCGCTATTTATGGTGCAAATCATCTATAATCATTAATTGCTTATAATAACATTTGGTCAACTTTAAAATACTAAAACAAAAAAAAATTTAACTAATAAGTTTTATTGTTCATGACTCAAGCTTTAAAACATTTGATTAAAAGTTATTTACAACAAAAAGTTTAACGAACATATATTACATTTAAAGAAAATCATTACCAAATTTGGTCGTGAGATTCAAAATATTGTAATACGAAAATATTATATTTCTGTCTGAGCATAACTTTCAAATATGAAAAGAAAATTGAAAAGTGGTGGGTTTTTTAAAATCCAATATGAGATGATCCGCATTGTATTACTATTACAATAATAATAACAACATATTTCGTCATGAAACAACTGATCCATATGTATTTTTTTTTTTGCAAAAGATTGTTAGTTTTATTTATTTTTAGAATACATAGATAAATAATTTCTCATTTTCCCACATGTATAATAATAAATATCGTGACTAATCTTTACCCATAGTGGAAATTTGTTTGGTCATGTGATATTTCCTGGTCATTTCATAAATATATAGTAAAATCAGCAATAATAATATATATACCATTTGTTATTGGTTAAAATTTACAAATGACATTAATAGAAATGAAATGTATTTCCATGAAATATATTTTTGATGCTAGGTGGGAGATAGCAAGTATATATTTTGCGCATTTCTTTGATCAATGCGATAGTCTATTTATTAAATTTGAAATAAATGGCTTAGCTGTTTGTTGCATTTTTTATATATATAATGAATAAATTTTCTTGAATAAAAGATCAAATTTTTGTTTTGTTTCAATTCGTCTATTTTTGATATTAACTTTTTTTGCATGTAACACATCAATTTTAGGGCTAAACATAGTAAATTTGGTAAACTCGTGCAATTTTCGAGGCACGGCAACATGACATATCAATGAGATGAAATCGTAACTTCGTAGAGGAAGGTCCTGCCTGGCTTTAAAAAAAAACATGATTTATTTTGGGGTGCTGCATTTCCATATTTGGAGGATTTGAAGGATCTACGCAACCAATAAAAAGTGCGGGACTAAGTGACTTGCACTATATATAGGGTTCCATACACTCCCCTACCATAATATCCGACCACCTGATGATTATTTTAATAATCGGAAATATTACGCATGCAGTTCAAAATTTTATTAATCAAACCGGAACTGGTGCATTATCATTACTGATAATCATATTCTTTTTAACGTTAAATATATAGAGCTTTTGAGTCATCATTATATAAAGAACATTTTGAAACAATTGAGCTAGAGTGTAAATTATATTAATTTACTTTCTCACCCATATATCACAGAACCAATAATTGTAATCAACATATTCGTGAATATCTAAATATATGTGCATGTGATTTATATTTATATGCATTCTTATTTAATTTTATTTATCTTTATTAACTCATTGTCATCGCCATAACCTTTACCTTTTCAATAGACATTGAAAAGCAACATCTGCAAAAAAGAGATAAAAAATGTCAAGGATAAAAGATGAGCAAAATTAGAAGTGAAGAATGTCAGGAACACAAATGAGTGTCATGAACAAGAATAATTTATTAGTATATCCGCTAATGCTGCTCCTCATTTGGGTCAACAATTGGTTTGTCTAGTAACACAATTTGCAATTTAACTGATAATAGTCATACAATGTCTAATT